ACATTACACTGTGGGGAGCCAAGCTGAAATATTATACTCAAGCTTGCTATGATCTCTGCATTTGAGATTGTTCATAATATTGCCTGATGCACCCTTATCGTGTTTTATCATGGAAACATTCCCAGTATAAACAATTTATTTACATCTGCATTACAGTCCATATCCTCAACATTCTATAAAGTTAGTGGCAATCATCATCATCCTCATGCATAGAAATGCAATCAAACGTTTAGAGTATATACTTAAATAATCCACAGAGAAACCAACTAGAAGAAAAATATAAAGAAAGGGGACAATAGAAGCCACTGTTCTTGTTAATAGTTTATTTTGGATTTCATTTTCAAATGGCCTGAAGATACATGTTCTCTTGAATATTTGAAACTGATGGATTTATTTGACTGATACAAGTATGAAATTGAAATTGCTTAATAAATTAATGAAGGGATTTTTACCTATTGTTATCAGTTGCAACTTCCAAAATATTTATCAAATGTATCAAAGCAGAAATCAAGGCAAGATGTGCAAATTTAACTAATAAAATATACCACTATATATATTACTCATTTACATTCTGAAGAATTGTGATATAAACCATATATACTATAGTCTTATCTAATAGGTAGGCGTTCCAAAGAAATGTTAAACATCAAAGAGGAAAGTGGATATTTTTGCCTAGTATCTGTATAAATTTTGTCAAAGGATTTTTCAGTATTGAGTGATATAACTACAGCTTGATTCTCTCTTTTATTCAGTCAGAGCAACTGTATCAAATATTTGACCCATATATGTGTTAACAAAACCAACCTGATCATTTTTATCAATGAACTTATGACTTTTTGCAGAAATTATCTGTAAGGCATAAGCCAGAGATTTCAGGTCTATTCCTGACCTCAAGTGTTGTATGGAATTATTTAGTTGAATATTTACTGCAGATCATTTCATAACTATTATCTAACATCTCAGAGATCTGATATTATGAAGACCACAATCAAATATGTAAAAGGTGCTTGTATTGGTTTTTGAGCTGCAGTGTTCTCAAGGGTATTTATTGGATGTTTCAAAAAGTACTGCTTCTTGCAGGGACACATTCACACTCAGCACATTAGGGTACTCAAGAAAGGATGAAAAAGGTTTAAAAACATTTCCCTATGCAATAATTATTTAACTCAGTTGATCAAATATGTTCAATTCTCTCTCATCTCATTCTACTCAATTATGAATGTGCATTTTTACACTTTTCTGTTTTGTTCTAACAGACTCAAAACTGGAGTGAATCCTGGGATTCTTTGCAGTTGTCCATTCTAGCAAAGGAATGATGAGTGGGGAGGGAGGACAAAGAAGCATGGATGCTAGAAAAAACAAATCATGGCTGTACTTTTGACATGTGACCTGCCTCTTTTTCCTCAGGTATCTGAGACCTTAGCAAAAACTTTTATTTTCGTTTTTACGTTCCAGGATGGAATATAAGAACTTTCTTCTGGGCTTCCTTCTTTGCTGCATGTTGCTTACAGCCAGCTATTCTTACATGATATTTGAGGAAAAGCAGAATCTGGAGAAAATCAAAATCCCGGATCTCCCACCCATCTCTATAGTAGGTTGGTAAAAATAGATCCTATTTTGAATCTTAAGGCCGGAAATGAATGCAGATTCCCTGCCTTTCCTCCAATCTCTACCTACATTTCAGTACTGTCTTGTGAGATGAAATCTGTAAATCAACATTAGCATACCCCTACATTTTTCTTCTACCAGGTGGAGTTGCTAATGAAGTAGAGTAGGGTCAAGGAAGCTTAAATGGTGACAATAGCACATCCAGGTTTTTATTTCACCTTTTTTTTATATAGAAAAAGAAGAAAAGGAGGGATAAGGAGCTGCAGCTTTTTAAGAGTGACAAAATTACTAAGGTTTCAAGAAACCTAGATATAAATTCTCAGTAGGTGTTAATGGTTTAATTTAATCATTTAATCTAACTTAATAAACCTGGAGAAAATCTATCATGTGGTTACTAAGAGTTGACACCAACTTGATGGCACAAAATCAGCCTGATTATGTTTAATGGTAAAGTATGATTTCTATTTCTAATGCGACGAGAGGACTCTTTGGAAAAGACCCTGATGCTGGGAAAGATTGAGGCAAAAGGAGAAGAGGACGGCAAAGGATGAGATGGTTAGATAG